GGTGGAAACAGACGGATCTGTTCTTCCTACTTGTCTCAGTGTACTTCACTACCCGAACAACTTACGAGATGAAGGAGGGTGTTGCAAGTGCGCTCAATTTTAGACTCGGGGGTCCAACAAACTATTTATGGAGGCCCAGAAACTATACCCGGGAAATTTCATCTCTGGGGCATTCGCATCATGTGATCTATTTTTGGAGATTGTTTTGGACCCAAAGAGGAACAAGTCGAAGACGCTTCCTAAGCTTTTTCGTGTGCAGGAGGACCGAATCTTTTCCTGCCCTCTCCACCCTGGGGCACAGGAACATCCTTGAGGCTCTCGCGACCTAGGTGTCCTCAGTGTGACGAAGTCGATGTTCGAATCAAATAACATCAACTGTGCCAATGTTGCAGAGCTGTTCAGTCAGTGGACCACAACAGGCCTTGTTGGCGTTTCCGGACTTCAATGTCGTCAATGTAACCAGGAGAATTCTCAGATTCAATCGCCTGCCATTGCCTCAAACTTGCTGCATGAAAAGTCGATCATCTCGGTTATCAACAGTACACCCCCGGCCCATTTGTATTTCCAGGTTGATGTGGCGTTGATTTCCAGCGAGGACAAGCAAATTGATTTCATGGGCAACATCAATTGGCCATTCAAAGTCAACTTCGCCGGGGAGGAATACACTGCGGTTTCACGTGGATTTTGGGGGGATTCACACTACTGGGGGAAGGTTTTGCGGTACGTCAATGGTGTCACTGCTGTCTGGATGCACGACGACAGAGCAAATGGAGGATTTGCGCAGTTAGTGGACCGCACGCCGGGCAGCATTAGTGGTGCACAACCGCACACGAGCTGGATGATTTACTCTCGACAGTGGACTCCCAATGAGAAGGCATTTATTGATACGAGCATTGCCAACATCCAGCGCGATAACCCAGTAGTCAAAGCCGACAATATTCCTTTTGTCAATATGGGAGCTGTGCTCCAAGCTACATTTGATTCAGCTTTACCACATCTTACACAAGGACAAGCAGCCGATCCAAATCCTACCATGACAACCACTCAGTTAAATGGTGAAAGCGGGCCTCAGGGTGAGTCAGATAGTTTTCGAGTTGATTAACTTGAACCTAACTAATTATTTTTACCTAGATGGGAACAATAGAGATAAACCAGTCAATTCAACTGGCGAGGGCTTGAAGATTCGCATTCGAAGGATCGATAAGAAGGCAGCTTCAAATCCAATGAATTCCGTATCGACCTCAGCCCCATCTGTTTCTTCCAAAGCGTTGATGTCTGCAGCGCCACCCGGGTCAACTAAACTGCCGACAGAGTCTCTTCCCTCTCTTCGTTTGGGCAGCGAGCTTCCTTTTTTGGATGTTAAGTCCAAGAAAACAACAGGGAAGTGTGGTCGGCCAAAGGCCAGGAAACTTGCAAGCAAGACATTCATCCCAAAGCCTTTGACTGATGCCGACTGGGCTCGTATATCAAACACCTATTGGAATAACCGCCGGTTGGAGAAGGAGGAGTTAGCTTCAAATTCCAAACCTGTGGCGGCGATTGGATCGAGCACAATTCAAGGGGATTCACAAGCCCCAGAAATACCTCAACTTCACTCTCCTCATGGTCAACAAACAGGTAGTCAGGCTCTCCGTCGATCTTCAAGAAAGCGCGGTGCGCGATGAGAGGGGACTCCAACCAACTCTTTATCTGCTCTTCTCTTGCTTTGGATGGCCTAGGATGGCCTGTTTTTTTTTATTTAGCATGTTCAGGGGTGTTTTTATTTTTATTTTTATGCTATCTTTGCAAGGGGTTGTAATCTCCAAATGGGGTGTTGGAGTATAATTGATTTTTAATAATAATTGCGCTCTTTGAATGTTATTTTGTGTTCGGATTCTATAACTTTGTAATATTTCCTCTGTAAATTTAAATCATTTTTTAACAATCTGTGGGTTTGCAAACCCAGGTTTTAAGGTGGTTCAACTTTGTATGGGAGTCTTTGCAAGTGTGGACATGTGCTGTGGGGGCAAGCAATTTTACAAGGGATTTCGCAAGGCGGGCCTTTTGCAAAGGATGATAAATTGTACAAATTTGTAAAATTAAATTTTGTTCCAACATTGTGCAATTTTAAGGAGAGCAGGGATCAAGGTGACTTGTCACCTTAAAATATGCTTTTTAAATTTCAACATCCCCCTATTAAAATGGACAAAAATACCAAATACTCTAGCAGACTGCCAGACCCAGATTCGTTCATTGCAGAATGAAAAGAAAAATGAAGATCAAAAAGGACAGAGTGGATAACCTGGCTACCAAATGGTAGATACACCTGTCAGGACATGAACAACAGTCGATACAAGCAGGACGGAGACACAATGGATAAAAAGACAAAAAAGACGGTGGATATAACATGCGAAAGCAATTTATAACTGGTACGGGTAGGGGGAAGCTGATCAAGGCTTGGTGAGGGGCATGTCGACTTGCTTGGGGTCGATTTTGGGACCGGGCTTGTTGTCATCAGTGACCTGCGTTTTCTGATGGCCAAAGAAGACCATTCGAGAATCGGTATCTTTTTTCTTGCTTGGTTCAGTGAAAATTGTAATCGATGTTCAAAGGTGAAAATGACTGCATTGACACAGGCGTTCAAGCACCATCGTGCAAACGCCTGCTCCTCGGCGCCACAGTTTCATCTTATGGGTCCCCAGAACTACTGTGAATTTTTCTGTCGGATGAGCCAGCTTTGGGCACTGCCTGTTGATAACTTCCAGCATATTTTATTCCCATTTACCCTGCCTGCATTATCATAGCAAAACGTTATCTCACTGAGTCACACGACTGGTTGAGGTGGCTTCAGCCCCAACAGCTCAATCCCTTGGTGATTGGATTGTATCACGCCCGTGTTGCTCGCCTCCAAGTCTCAAGCTGTGCCCGATGGGATCCCTACTCTTGGATTCGCTTCTTTTAGTTTTCACTATAAGACGGAGCGTTTTTCGTCCCGTCGATAACAAAAAATCCTCACCAAGTTGCAACCACACCTAAAACTCGTCTCTGTTCTTACATAGTTTCCCGGGATCAGCATTCCTTCGCAGTTTCTTCCTACTCGTGCCAGTTCAATAAAAATTTACACATCTATACATACTCCATTGTCCAATTCTGTTGTGTCGTTATGCATTTCTTAAAATCACTCATGCTGATGGCAATCATAACTTTCCAAATTGCAATCGCGGATCAAGCCTACGAGCAGGATCACCAGAAGGTTTTCAGATGCCGTCGATTAGATGACGACTCGTTGGACGAGCGGATAGCAGTTTGCGGCGGAGTCTCCAAAACAGACCCAAATAAATATGAGAGTCAGTCTCACGTTAACCGATGATGAATCGATTGATAGCCTTATGAAAACGACATGACTGATTGTTCAAACTTTTTCCGATTCTCAAAAATTCAACAGTGACCAGAGCCAACTCAGTAGTAGATGACCAAAGAGCTCACAACTGCATTGGAGCCCCCTTACAAGAAATGCGATCTTGCCGAAAAAGCGCATTCAAACTTCCACAAAACGTGGGCACTATTTCATCTGAGCGCTTCTTTCAACTCTCCGAGTCCAAGTTACTAATTATTTCATGAATGTGTCCAAATGTCCCCGTAATTCCATTAATAGCCAAAGCACGGATTTAAAACGATCACTGTAGATTTATCAGCAACTGAATATAACTACAATTGTATAGGAGTAAGACTGGAGGTCAACCCTATACAGATAAAATTTTAATTCCTGGAACTTTTCAATGCAATGCCTCAATGCCCAAAAGCAATCTGCTTCTTGGTAGTCTGCTTCCTTACCGTTCAACTTTGATTATGTAAAACCTGATGAATTGAGTCTCAGAGGTCTGTAGATCTGTTTGCCTCTTTCCAATAGCATTCCTTGTATTCCTCTGTGATTGTTGATATTACAAAATCTGAAAATCCAGTGGTGATGTTTTTCACATGTTGATGGCAACGAGGAATTCTTCCCATTTAATCAGGCTGTGACTTGTTTGACCTAAGGGAGTTGATCCCAGTCAGGAAGGTTTTACAACTTGATCAGCCGGTAGGAATGGCCCAAATTCCTCCCAGTGGATCAGGTTGTGAAAATCAATCTCATCAACATTTCATTTTATCCTCCTTCATATATTCATTTGCATTGTTACCAACCTGATTCTTAATCACCAATCCTACACATTTCATGATTCTTTGATAGTAAAGTATTAGAGAAGCTGATTTACATGCTGAAGGTCAACCTCAATGAACACTGTTCTGATGCCTTGGAAAGTTTTCAAACATATAGAGTGGTCATAATATCCAAATTGAGCAAAAATTAGGACTAGTAATTTCATCAAGATTGTGCCAGCACCTTGACTGCTCTATCTTATTTCCAACAAGCTGAGGAATTGTTTTTGTGATAAGATTAGAGGGAATTATATTGAATTTTGCCTTTAAAGTTGAACGGTGCACAAAAAATTTTAAAGACTATGGGCGCTGGAATTGCTGCAGTGTGAAAAGCACTTTTTGCAGTGTGCAGAGTACATTTGATATCCTGCATATCCCATTTTTTGAGTGATATCCCCCAGGGGAAATTAAGCAAAGTTTGGAGTGGTGTTGTGTGGACCATTTTCATTTGTAATGCACCGTTCAAAAGGTCCAAGATGGCAAAGGACAATGTCAGGGAGCCTGCCATATTTTTCAAAATCAACTTTGATTTCTGAATGGGCAGAAGCAGCAATTACATTGACAAATACAGAAGGTCTCTCTTTGCAGGCAAGGGTGCTGTGACCTGGGTGTTAAATGATACTACGTTTTATGTAAAAAATAAAAACAATTATTATTATCTTGTTATATATCATAGATAAGGTAAAAATAAGATCAAAACTGGATTTCACAGCCACTAGTCACTCACTACAACTACCCCCATATCTCTCATAGTTTGGGATTTACACGGATTTCAACCTGTCACAGGATACCTCTTGGATTCTTTACTCTGACTATAGCTCATTTTGAATACTGGATGCATATTTGATATTAGGGGTGTTCATGATAGCTTCTTGCAAGAAGCAATTTCTTCTCACGTGAGATACCACAGCACTGCTGTAGACAACGGTGAAACAGATACAGTATCTGCCATGTATCATTCCTTGTATCTGACTCCCAATAAAAGAAACTGTCTGACAAATTTGCTTTTATTTACAAGAAGATGAAATGCATTTTGTTTTTGGACATGCAAAAGTTCTGAATCCCACATGATACACACAGTGTATCATATCTGTTACAGTGTTGCTGTAGACTTAAGATTTGGTGCAGAACTTTAAATTTTCACTGAGAAAATTAACATCAGCAATGTGTGAGCAAGAAAAAAAATAACAGGTGTGAGAAGCAAAAGAAACTATCATGAACCCCACTATTGAGTGCCTTTGTTTCATTTTGAAGTTCTTTATTAGCTCATATTGCCTATTGAATTTCTTTTTAGGTGTACATGTGTTCCTTTGCAGTAGGACCTTGTAAGTTAGCCAAAATCCCTCAAGGTGGTGCTTTCACTAGCTAATATCCCTCAAGGTGGTGCTCTCGCTAGCTAATATCCCTCACCTGCATGCATTAGACTATCTAAATTCCTTCATTGGATTTTCAGGCCGTCTAAAATACCTCAAAGCATGTACCCTGGAGCTAACCTCCCTCACATTTGTCTATAAAAGTAGGCCTCTGCCTGTCAGTTTTTCCATCCATCATCCCACCAGACAACCAGATCATCTCGACTCACATTGAAGAATATATTAAAAATACAATTTACAGCCATAAAAATACATTATATTGAAATACAGCCATAACACTTTCATCATCATAACAAGTGCCAAGTGCCAATAACTTGCCTCACATACCATTACTGGTTGAAGCATAGAGCTCCCAGAGCACATTTCACAGTATGTGAAATGCACCTAGTAACTGCAAAATTAATAATTAATTGAATACTTGTAAATGTTATACATTATTGTTAGAATAATCTACATATGGTGTATCAAGTCATGCTGGGCACAATCCCAAGTCCCGCTTGGCCAAGCGCCACCAGGGCTTGGGAGTGTGCCCAGGGGGCTTGATCGGCCAGGTTGGGCGGGGCTTGGATCTTGGCACACAGCCAAGTCCCTCTGGGCCAACCCCAAGCGCTTGGCCAATTCAATTGACACCCCTCACTGCCTCACTTCCTCATACACCTGCAACACACAAAGACAGCAAGTCTTTTGTTTTCAAAGGGGTGGTTTTTGAGCTTAACAAAGCCTCTCCACAGAGGTGCAAAACAAATTTGCTGCACAACCTCCTTGGAGGGACCTTGTGTTAAGTTTGGGTGGTTTTGGCACGGGTACAGTGGCGCGCGGCATTCTACTGTACAAGGCCACCCGCAAATGTTGATTAGGTCGCGCAGGGTTGATCCTCACCCCCGACGGGGGTCCAGCACCTGTAAAGAACACATTTTTGGAGTCTACAAGGTGTGTAGATTCCAAATCTAAATCGGCAACCAATTTGGTCCAGCCAAACAAACAAAAATTCTTTTTTTCATTGGACCATTCGGTCACAGGCCAAATATGGGGGCCTAAGTACATAAATATGCAATAGGCTGACACCATAAACCCATACTTGTATGGCTATATGTCAGCCTAAGCCCATACACATAAGCTTAAAGCCAATGTATATGCTCAAAAGTGCATCTGCTGGCTCGATTACAGCAGCGTGGATGTCAGATTGACGTCTCAACACCCCAAAACTTAACAAAAAAAATCAAATTTTTCCAAATTTTGGGTCCCGACCATTCGGACATCCCAAAATCCTGTACAGTACAATGCCGCGCGCAACTGTAGCACCCTTGCTTGGGCTTGGCCAAGCAAGGATTTGGCCCAACCCCACCAACTTTGGCATGTGCCAAGTGGGGGTTGGGAGGGTCCCAAGCTTGGTTTAGGATGTGCCATGCCAGCTTTGGCATTGCATTGGCCCAGCCCTCCTGGCTCATTTTTGGCCAAACTTTGGCCAGTGCCCAGATGGGCTTGATGGACCATATAACTAAAGAAATAGGCTCAGAGAGCCAAAAAAACCCATCAAGTTTTCTAATGCCAACACAGGCCTTCAATTCAGCTTTCTATTGAATTCTCATCTGGCTTCTAAAACCGGTGTTGATATTGGAGACTGAAATTGCCATTCACCCAGCAAGTGAAGGGCTGATGTGACACAGGCCATCACTTTCAGATTGCTTTGATTGATTGCTTTGGTCCAATCTGAATTCATTCCATGAACCTTGGGTTTGCTGAGCTATCAAGAATCCTCTTGTTCTACAACCAATCACAACCCATCCTCCCTGATTCAGATTACTATCAAAACCTACTTAAAACCCACTTTTTTTTCTAAAACCCATTTTTTTGTTTGAAAATGCCAATAATATCAACTACCATCAAAACAATGTTAAAAAAATCCAATGACATCAAATAACCTCATGACTATTAATAAATTCAAATGATATTAACGAAAATTGTATCAAGCAATAGTAGAAGCATTAGAAAACTTTGAAGGAACTGAAACAGGTGGTAAAATCTACAACCAAGACTGGCTGTACTCATCCAAATTTGAAGTATCATGCAATGTAAAATCTGCATATTCCCTTTCACATTTAAATTTTGCTCAGCTTGCTTTTAGCTTATGTTCCAGAACCAAGGGGATCAAAAACTGTCAAACAAATGAAAAATTTAGGGTTTTTAGCTTATGGTCCAAGGGGATCAAAAACTGTCATGTCAAGTAAAACTTTTTTTCAGATTTGAAAATGAAGAAAGTTTTGCCATCAAATGATGATTGAATGGCAGTAAAATTTCAAAAAAGGAACATCTGCTTAACAAATGTTCTAATTTACATGAGCCTCAGATAGCCATCAAACAGATTGTCAGAATCTCAAGTCTAACCTTGGAATCAATCTGCAATTCAGATTTGTGCTTTGTGTGACATTCTCATGAAGATTTTGAGTTTTATTTCATCATTAGGGACTGAATTCCAACTCTTCATTTTAAATTGTTTGGATTTGAATCTGGATATAATTTTTGCTTCCATCGGGCATTGAAATTGATAGATATGCTATCAACAAAGATACAGCAAAATTGGGGCAAACATAGACAGAATTTCATTTTGAGATAGGATTGAAATCTACATTTGAATTTATTCCTGAAAATAGCATGGATCTTTTCAAAAAAAATTGCTTCCACTTATATTCAAACCTAATATATCTCCTCTGATTCCAGGACGTATACATTACATCTGCTTCCCTTACCCACTTGGCTCATTTGCTTACTATGACCTGCAAAAAGTAACAATTTCCAATCATACCTTGGTTGAAAATGGGAATTATAAACAATTCTAATCATGGTTATTGTTCCAATTGAATACTTGAGTGTTTTTCTTCAGAATCAATGCTTAAAATTAAATTTTGCTTCTTCCTCAGAGCTTACTCAAAATTTGCTTCAAAAAAATCAAATGCTGACAATGTGCACATTTCACAGTAACTGTGCACAAATTTTTACATTTAATTTTGTTGATGTAGTTACAAGACAAGCTACATTGGGGGTAACCCACATTTCAGCTGCTTCCAGTTTGCTATATGTTTTCTTGAAGTTAAATTTACAGGCCCCATTTGGACAGCCCATTATAGGTCATAAATCATTGGATTTATAATGTGTGACCCCTGGGGGCTCTGAAATTCTGGCGCAGACAGGGGTTGATTTAATATAACCCAGGGGGGCAATTCATGACATATAACAGGATGTCCAAATAGGGCTCAATTATTGAGAGCTGAAATTTTGGATTACACACCTTATGATGTTACTTAGGTACACATACATAAAAACTATACTGAGATGTAAGCATCAATACAATAGAGCTAATAATAGCATGAATGTAAGACTGATAGAATAAGGTAAACAATCATTAACCTTGAGTTCCACCAGAGAAGAGAAATTGCAAGTGAGGGAAGTTGAGAGTTTACAGTGGCACACGGCATTGCACTGTACAAGGCTGCCCGCAAAACTTTTCTGGTCGCGCGGGGTTAAACCCCGACCCCGATGGGGGTCCAGCACATGTAATAAGTGTGTTTTTGGAGTCTACAGGGTGTGTAGATTCCAAATCTAAAGTTGCAAACAATTTGGTCCAGCCAAAAAAAAAAAACTTTTTTTTCACTCGACCATTTGGACATAGGTCGTGTATGGGGGTCTCAGTACATACTTATGGGTTAGGGAGGTATCCTAATCCCATACTCACATGGCCAACTGTCAGCCAAAACTCATAAACATGAGCTTAAAGTGTATTTCACAGGTCAATTACAGCAGCTGTGACACCGGATTTACATCTCAACCCCCCAAAAACAGGCGAAAATCACAAAAAAAATCCAAGTTTTGGGCCCCGACCTTTTTGACATTGCAAAACCTTGTACAGTACAATGCCGTGCACCACTGTAAGTATTTGATAAGCAAGCAAGCTTTAGGAAGGAGTTTGGACCAATGACATCATCCAAGCTGAGAGTGTGCTTAGATCAATGATTTCATCTGGAAAAAGACTGGAAGAATTAAGTAGATGATGCGCAAGGGGTTTAAGTATGGGGGTATTGAAATCAGATATCAACAAGAATTTCATATATTAATTAACACCCTCTAATTTTATCAAAAACAAGTACCTGAAATTTTCAAAACTTATTGGAAATCAGATAGGGCAGTCCAGGCTCCGACACAATCTTGGGGGAATTACTAATCCTAAATTTTGCTTGAACTTGATATTGTGAATACTCTAAACGTTTGAACACATTCCAGTGCATCAGAACAGTGTCACTTTCATTGAAGTTCAGCTTAAGCTTGCAAATCAGCTTCTCTAATACTTTACTATCAATGAATCATGAAATGTGTATTTTGGTGTGATTGATTTTTGCAACCTGATCCACTGGGAGGAATTCCTACTGTTTGATCAGGTTGTAAAACCTTACTAACTGGGATCAACTCCCTTAGGTCAGACAGGCTTCACAGCCTGATTAAATGGGAATAATTATTCCCTGCAAATTCAATCAACACATTAAAAATATTACCACTGGATTTTCAGATTTTGTAATATTAACAATCACAGAGAAATACAAGGAATGCTATTGGAAAGAGACAATTAACAGATCTATAGACCTCTGAGACTCAATCCATTCAGTGTCACACAAACAAATTTGAATGGTAAGGAGGCAGACTGTTAAGAAGCAGATTTCTTTCGGACATTGAGGCATTATATTGGAAAGTTCCAGGCAAGAAAATTTTATCTAGCGAGGGGTGACCTCTTGCCTTCCTGCAACACAATTGTAGTGAATTTTGGTTGCTGATAAGTCTACAGTGATTGTTTTGAATCCGTGCTTCGGCTATCAATGGCATTACGTGGAAATTTGGACGTATTCATGAAGTAATTAGTAACATGGACTGAGAGAGTTGCAAAAAGTGTTCAGATGGAACAGTGCTCACGTTTTGCGGAAGTTTGAATGCGTCTTTTCGGCAACATCGGATTTCTTGTAATGGGGCCCCGATGCAATTGTGAGCATCTGTATCGTCTACTACTGTGTTGGCTCTGGTCACTGTAAAATTTTCATGAAATCAGACAGAGATTGAACAATCAGTCATGTCGTTTTCATAAGGCTACAAATTTCATGATCCATAGGGAGGATAAATCGGTTGATGCAAGACTGACTCTCATATTTAGTTGGGTCTGTTTTGGAGGCACCGCCGCAAACTGCTATCCGCTCGTCCGGCCGTTCGCGGTTTACTTTAGGGCATCTGAAAACCTTCCGGTGATCCTGATCGTATGCTTGATCCGCGATTACAATTTGGAAAGTTATGATTGCCATCAGGATGGATGATTTTAAGAACTGCATAACGACACAACACAATTAGACAATGGAGTATGTGTAGATGTGTAAATTTTGTTTGAACTGGAGTAGAAAGAAACTGCAAAGGAATCCTGATCCCGGGAAACTATGTAAGAATGGAAATTATTTTTGGGTGTGTACGCTGGGTTGCAACTTGATGACGATTTCTTGCCATCGACAAGCCAAAAACGTTGCATCTTATAGTGAAAACTCCAAGAAGCGAATCGAACATCAGAGATTCCATCGGGTACAGCTTGAGCCTTGGAGGCGAGCAACAGGGGCGTGGTACAATCCAATCGCCAAGGGATTGAGCTGGTGGGACTGAAGCCACCTCAACCAGTCGTGTGAGAAAACCTTTTGCTATGATAACGCAGGCGGAGTAAATGGGAAGATATCTTACATTGCGGGAAGTTATGTTCAACAAGCGGTGCCCAAGACAGAAAAATCCATGAAATGAAACCGTGGTACCTCCCCCTTTCTTTTGAGCCACTCAACGACCAAATGGCCCGGCATGGATCGCCACTCGCGTTAGGCATGTCCACGGGAACTTCTTCATATCGACCAGGTAGCCTGTAATAATTCTACTCGAGCATGGGTGAACGACGCCCGTGAAATCTGATCAACTAGACAAACTAATTTTGGGTTTGAAAATGTGTGACGATGTTTGAAACTTGAAGGGTATGTAATTCCCGACATTTTCCTCACCTCGTCTCCACTAAAGCTCTCCTGGGAAGGCGATAACGCCGAGAACACTTTTGGAAACTCTTGCCAAAACTCCGATAGCCCAATTAAGTGCATTTACATCGGGGGGGAGGGGGGTTGAAATAAGTGAAGTTTGCTTTAACATTGCGCATGAAACTATCCCAAGGAACCTGGAAAAAAAGCCCTGATGACTATAAAATCTTTTTGATCATCACATTTCCAACACATGATAGCTGGCCGGTGAGAAAAGGAAGGAAGACAGAGTAGAAAGCAGAACGCGAATGAGCTGAGGAAGGGAAAAAAAGAAGGTCCTTCTTAACCAAGTCCCTCCGGAGGGGCATTATTCGTGGTGGCTCTTCGATGAGACTTGTCTTGTTGCAGTGAAGCTCCCTCGGTCGCTAGGGGGGTGTCCCTTGACCTCAGACAGGGGCTTGCGTATTTTGGTGGGTCAACCCTCCAAAGAAGGAACAGCAAGAACCAGTCAACCTCAACCTCAACCTCAACCTCAACTTCAACCTCAACCTCAACCTCAAATAACCGAACAACCGAAGAAATAATCCAGATGAACAAGAAAAGACTATCAAGAGTCAACCAGCAAGACTTACAGATCATCATCTCACCAGCAAACACAATCAATCGATCATCAGCACAACTATCAGCAACTCACTCAACCTCCTCAACCAGCTCATCATCTGATAACGACCTCTACGAAAACTCACTCAGCTCACCCATCTTCAATAAGAACCAACAACACGACCAATCCAAACAGAACAGCAGATCATCACTCCATCCTGATACCATCAAACTCATACCAACCTCAAACCAACAGCAGAACCTCAACCCTGCCCCCTCTGCTTCCTCCTCTGATGATCAATCAACCTCAAACCATCATTTCAATCAGCTAGAATGGCAAGAAGAAGACTCAATCGATGGACAGCAACAGGTCGACCTGGAAAACCATTTGAATCAGACTAGCCTCGAAGAAGGAGAAGAAGACGAGGAAGAAGATGATGACTCACAACATGATGAGCCTTCACACTGGAAGCAACCCTACCAACGAAATCGATCGGAGGATGAAACAGAAGAGGAGGAAGATGATGAGGATGATGGTGATCGAGGTGGTAGAGGAGGTAATGGGAGTGAAGATGGGGAGAGAGAGCCGCTGGTACAGCATTACCAAAACGAACCGAGGAGTGAAGGCTCATACTCCTCCTCCGATAACCCCAGGATCGAATCCTACACTCGTCCTTCTAAGTCTCGTCAGAGGCGGAAGGTATATGGTGGCGGAAGACTCGATTGGGGTGGCGAACTAGAGATTTGGGAAGTTGGCTTAGGAGTGGCCAGTAACATGTAAGTCAAGATAATTCACATCTCCAGATAAATATAAGTTCTGAAAACCATATTGATGTTGGTCCATTTGTTTCCCATCTTATCATCCAGACTTTCTCCTGCACCACTCTTCATTCCCCATGCGTTCCTCTTATTAGGACTCCCTATAGGCTTGCCGGTGTTATTCTTGATTGGCTTTGTGGCTTGGTTCTCCCAGGTGGTCCTAGTGGTATGCGGCCGATATGTTGGGGGGCGGACGTATGCGCAGGTAGCATCAGCGGTCTTACCGGATAGACTCAAAGGCTGTAACATCTGGTTCGGCGAGACGGTCGTCGAGCTCTGTCGGGTCTTTGTAGCTGGCGGAAGAGGGATGGTGAATATGATGATGGTCTCGGACCTGTTCTCGCAGCTGACCCGACAGTACACACCCAAGGCCGCGATACTCTACTCCCGGGTGTTCATCATCGCTTTTGTCGGGCTCGTCTCACTGTTGCCCAATTTCGTCCGTCCCCGTCGACCACTTTTCCTTCCGGCGCTCTTCCCCACCTTGTCTCGACTCCCGCTCTTTCTCACTGCACTTTGGCCGATCGCCATCGGAATCATCGGCTTCAGACTGCGCCAGCTCAACCGCGAGCTCGGCCGCAAACTCCCTCCGACGGGTGAAGGTGACGTCTACAGCGAGATCATGGGCGGTACCGTCTGGGGTGGCTTCTCCATCCTACTCTTCTGTCTATCCACTCCGCAACATACCTTCAAGCATCTACGCTCACTCAAGCGCATCAATAAGCCCCCCGGAAACACCACCCATCCTATGAAGCCGCTCGTCAACCACACGACCGAAGACGGCTCAGCCACACCGGTTGCCGATCCGTTGTTTGCCGGCACAAGTCGCTCCTCAATCTTCTCGAGCTACACCATTCGACGGTATTCGTGGGAATCAGCCGCCCTCCTAGGGGTCTCCTACTCAACGTTGATCTGTCTCGGTTGGGGATTAGTGGGATATCTGGGGATGTCGCATGGAGGATATGAAGTCAATTTTCTGGCATCCTTACCATCAAACGACCCGTGGATCTCGAGCTCGCGGGTTCTGTTGCTGTTAGTCCTGATTCCTTCGATCCCTCTATCGTTACGACCGGCGACGACGGCGCTGTTCCATCTCCTACGGATCCCCGGGGTCATTCACACGGCCTCGTCCCGACGGAAGAAGCTACGGAAACGAGGAGGTCGAACGGGGAGGGGGATGGAGGCGGAGTGGGATGACGAGGACGAAGACGAGCCGCTGGCGGGGGCGAAGGTCTGGATGGCCCGTCTGGTGACCAGTGCGATCTGGCTCGCGGTAGCTGTCGGAGCCATCCGACTTGGAGGCAGTAACGGCGGTGAAGGCTCGACAATCGAGGTCCTGGGGTGCGTCGGCTCCACGATCATTGCTGGCCTCCTACCCGCCGCTTTCTGGATCGTCCTCTTCCACATCCGCAAGGCCCGTCCAATCCTTAACATCAATCCCTCCCAGCCACCTTCCCCTACAAGCGCCCTTTCCCGGTCCAATCCAGTCCGGCCAGGCGCTCGCTCCCGGGTCTCCACAAACCAACAATTCCCTGACTCTTCTAGACAGACAGGACCTGATCAATTACTGATCATTAAGGAGGCTCAGTTACAGAAACGACTCTCTGGTAGAAGAATCTGGCAGGATATAGGGATCTTTGGGATCCTGATTCCATTCTGTTCTGTTGTCCTACTCAAAGGTCTCATCGCCGTCTCCCATGAAACCGGTCCTCCTCCTCCCTTCTGATCTCACCTTCCAGCTTCATTTTCTTCTCTCGAGTTAGTTTTTTTGCATCTCTCTATCAGCTTTATATATGTTTCTTTTGCCTGCTACAAAATAGACACTTCGAAATTTCGCTTTGCTCTCCCCTAAATATCACTTAAAATCAGATCTTCTCTATTTATTTGTTATTTTCATCATTATGATGTACCATATTTATTTATTTATCCTATTAAAGTGCCAATCCAATCAATCTCCAATACACTTACCATCGTCTTCTCATCTCTTTCTCTTTCATCCATAGATACAATTATCTTCTGTTTTTTTTTTCTTCTTTGTTTTTGCTTCTGTTTTTATTTGTTGGTCAGTTTGATTTGATTGATAGTCTTTGAACATGTATAAATGCAAATTTACATGGAACATCTTAAAGAAATTTACATTTGTTTTGTGTGCATACCTGAAAACAAAAACCTTCAATCGACTTATAATCTACTGCACTCAAAGCAAAGCATGCAGAAACAACATGTGCTTGTAAGGTCAGATCGACGGCAGATATACATGAGAACGCGTAACGGTTTTGTTATGACCTACATATCTTGGAATTTGATTCATTCCAAATAGTAAAAGTCACTTCCAATCGAATTTTTTTTTTTGGGCCTTAATACAGCTATTTCGGAAAGGGTTGTCCACTTGGACTCGCGAAATCTTTTTTATTTTTTTATTTTTTTTATTTTTTATTTTTTTACTGAACTGGACCTGTCAGAACTGAACTATCGATGACAGCTGTACCTCCTCGGCTGTAGTTCAGTACAAAGAAAAATTTAAAAATTTTCAAAAAAAAAAAAAAAAAATTTGAGAGACAACTGGACAACCCTTTCCGAAATAGCTGTAAAAAAACCCGCATTTTCAGCGTTTTGACACGGTTTCTGCTGCGCGCAGCACACGCGCATTCCGTGTTTAAACCCGCATTTTTAATTAATTTTTTTTTGCCATTAATTTTGAGTATTTTTGATTTTTTAAATTTTTTTCCTACACTTTGAAGGGTGTAGAATTTAATGGTAAAGTCCATTTTCCATAAAAATGAATTTTGATTATTAATTATTATTTTTTTCACTCATTTTTCAAGTAATTGTTTGCATGCATGTATGTACCTTATTTTTTATGTTTTTTTGAAAGTTTAAATTTATTTCCTAGGTTTTAATGTGCGTAGAATTTAATGGTGCAATCCAATTTCTTTAGAACTCAACTGTTCACTTTTAATACTCAAATTACACACTTTTTTCACTTCATTTTTACAGCTTAATTTTCATTATTTTTTGACATTTCAACATGATTAAAATGATGGTAACAATCATTTTGAATAAAAACAAAAGATTGGTAATGAATACTGCGTTGGACAGGTTTTTTTTGATGTTTTTTTAATTAATTTTTACCAGCTCAATTTTAATCATTTTTAGAAATTTTAAATCTATTTCCTACATCTAAAAGTGTGTAGAATTTAATTGTAGAATTCATTTTGCCTCAAAAGAAAATCTTCAATCTTAATATAAGAGTGTACACCGTTTCTTGCATAATTTGTACTGTATACAAATTTTATTTGAATGCAAAATGGATAAAGCCAACAATTTGAAAACCTTTCAAAGTGTAGGAAATGAACTTAAAATTCCATAAAATAAGGATAATTAAGTGTGTAAGAATTAAGTAAAAAAACATGTGGAATGCATTATTCAAGAACAATTTTTCATTGTGATGCAAAATGGTTATTACCATCATTTTATACATGCTTGACAGTGTAGGAAACAAATTTAAAATGTGCAAAAATAATGAAAAATAAGCTCTTAAAAATCAATTGAATTTTAAGGCTGATTACAGTATTCAGAATGAACCGTTGAGTTTTATGGAAATTGAATGTTACCAGTAAATTCTAAACACTTTGAAATGTAGGAAACAACTTTCAAATTTCAAAAAAGCAGAAAGAATAAGGTAAAAAAATTAATGCAAACAATTGAGTGAAAAAGTGAAGAATTAAATAAAAAAATGGTGTCAAATGCAGTATACAAGATGTAGTTCTCACTTTGATTCAAAATAATTTTTACCATAAATTTATATATGTCTGAAAGTGTAGGAAAAAAGTTCAAAATGTGAAAAAAGAATGAAAATTGAGCTCTAAAGATTTAAGTGAAAAAATGGGTGTAATTGCATTATTAAAAATGATTCATTCATTTTTATGAAAATTGGATTTCACCATAAATTTCTACACACTTAATAATGTAGGAAACAACTTTAAAGTTACACAAAATCTTGAAAAATGAGGTAAAAAACTTAAAGCAAACAATTACTTGAAAAATGAGTGAAAAAAAATAATTAATAATCAAAATTCATTTTTATGGAAAATGGTTTTTACCATCAAATTCTACACCTTTTAAAGTGTAGGAAACAACTTCAAAAAATCAAAAAAACTCGAAATTAATGGCAAAAAAAAATTAATTAAAAATGCGGGTTTAAACACGGAATGCGCGTGTGCTGCGCGCAGCAAAGGCGCGTCAAAACGCGGAAAATGCGGGTTTTTTTATTAAGGCCCTTTTTTTTTTTTTTTTTCAAACTACAATGTAAATAACGGAGGACAAAGTTGGTCGGGAGAGGCACTGCCGAGTGGATCATGGGAGAGCAGACATATGTTTTTTCCAGAGGCTGTGGTATGAGATATGTGTGGTGGCCACCAAGTGGGTTGTTGACCCTCAAATTGATAAATAAGTATTCGAGAGCCGATGGTGACTTGCAACGACCATAACGTCCTCGATTTCCTGAAGAATCTCCGGTATCCATCCAATCCTGGTTGGAAAAACGTTCATATGCAAACTGTTCTGTTCGGTGACGTAAATAATCTCCTTGAGCTTGCTGAGTCCTGTTGGACTATCCAACGTGCTTGCACATGGTTTGCCTACATGATTAGACTAGACCGTACGTAAACCTGCATTATCTTTCTCATCAGATACATAGTTCTCTGAAAATTTCCTTCAAGTCTGTTTTTGTATGTGTGTATGTGTCTCAGGGCAAACATAAGACAAAGATGATATGTGTGATTGCATTGTGTGTAGACATAATGATGGTAGAAGAATGTGTGAATATTGTAACATGAAGAAACAGGATGATTTCTTTTCTTTTTCTTTTTGATTATAACCAACTGAACGAATAATAAAGAAAAGAAAAAAGAAAAAACTTTTTCATGAAGAAATGTGACAAACCAAAAAGAAAAAGAAAAAGAAAGATGGATGGATTGAAGCGATGAGAGAAAGACACACACACAGTGAGAGAGAGAATGAGAGAATGAGGTAATGAGAAGATGAGGGATGGGAAGCAAGGAAGGAAAAGCGGATGAAAAAGAAGGGATCTTAACTTCTATAAGAAAACGTCACTGCAAACGAGAAAATTCAAAAAATGAAAAACAGAGAGAGAAAAACATAAAGGAACAATAAACAAAAAAAGTATTTCAGGAGAAGTATATGGATTTATATCTCATGATGGGGGGAAGGGAGAGAGAGAGAGAAGAGCAGGAAACCAATGGAGACTAAGTTTTCGAGAAGTTGAATTCGGGCAATTTGAGATCAAAAGAGGAGAGATGAGGGTCGGAAGACAGGGGAGGAGTAGGTTGAGGCAACTTATTCCTGCTGACGCCTTCATAAAGACTAGCCGGATAATGGGAGATGAAGGGAGGGATACGAGAGTTAGAGGCAGGACTAAGCGGAGGGACCGCGGGGGCAGCGGAATTGTTGGAGGATCTAAATTTCCGGAAGGTGCCCTCGAGAGGACTGGAGGCTTGGGCTTGCATTTCCGCATGGTCGGCCGAGATCGATCGACGGAGGTCGTCGGCACGTGGGGCTAGGTTGTTGCTTCGTGAGGGAAGGAAGGCGCTGCGTGGAGTGATGCTGCCCTTACCATGATCGAGCAGGATCCGACGAAGGACCTCCTCCTCGTCTATTTGAGACATTCGATTTGATCAGCTTGGATACCGCGTCTTTGAAAGGGGCGGGGGAGAGAACTCACATGAAGATTTCCAGCTATTGATCAAATTATCCAGGTGTCGGTCGAATTGGCTACGCGCATCAATGAACAGATACTTGACCGTCCCAGCCTTCACCCAGTCCGGGTTCTCCCACTCTCCTCGGTTATCCTCGTTTTTCAGGCCCTTGACAGAGGCCCTGAAGTAGCTGGCCGACCATCCCTCCTGTGCAGCTCTGGCCTCGACTTCGCGGGCGACCCGTTCGGACGACTCTCCCATTTCGGCACAAGCGCGTGCGATCGAGCCCGAGCCGTTGTGTAGACCCTTGCCAGCGCCCAGGGAGATAAGACACTCGATCCGTCGGCCTGGACAGAGCGTCTGGGCTTCCTTGACGGCCTCCATCGATGGGTTGTTCAGACTCAGCTCGCTCTGGGGGACCGGCTCGGCTTCCAGCTCCAGCTCGTCCACTCTCGCCGCCTTGAAGAACAGTGGCGCGGCACTGGTTGCCCGCCCCGCTTGAGCGATGCTACATCCGCCACCGTGTGCCGGTTGCTCGCCATAGGACCTCAACTTACTAAATAAACCCCGCTCCTCCTTGCCCTCTGTGGGACGCATCGCAAGCATGAACGTTCGACAGAGTGGACGCGTATCCTGATCAGCCAGATAGAGCTCTTCCTGGCCCGAGATCCGCTTGACAACCTCTCGGATCACCGCCTCTAGCTTGGTGGCACTGAATCGAGTCTTTTTCCTAACAGCAGCAATGACCCCTTTGGATTGTCGAAAGACTTGTCTGACGATCTGCAGATAAGCCTCGATGGCAACGGAGATGTCTAGCCGGAGTCGGCCGAGCAACAGGGCGATGATCCCACCCGTCCCAATCCCACATATCATCTCGAATATTTCACATGGCAGGGGTGCTTTGTGAAGTCGCAGACGGGTCTGGATCGACGTCATCAGCTCACGCACCACGTAGAGCATCGACAGGCCTCGGATTCCTCCCCCATCGAGACAGAGGATCCGCCAGCCACTCTTGAGTGGATTTTCCGGCGGGGGAAGGCAGGATGAGAGGAGAGTCTTATAGTAATTCCCATTGAGAAGGTTCCAGTCAAAGTCTGAAGGGGCCGGAGGGGTCGACATGAGTGATGTTGCCCATGATTGTCCACTGATCGATGGGGTCGATACCGGCGATCCAGCGATCGTCAGAGCAGCTTCGGAGCGAGCGGCTTCAGGCAACGAGCCAGATAGCTTGTCGACTGGTTGTAGGGCTAAATGACTAGGTCTTTGTGGGAGTTGCGAAGTCGCTTTTGCGGAAGAAGATTTCTCCTCAGTCTCTGATGCGCTAGGATGCCGGCAAGCGAGAGACGGGATAGGTGAAAGAGGCGGTGAAATGAAAGATGCCGATAGTGGATCCGGTGCTGCATATTCAGCTGGGGCACTCGAGCGATCGGGCGAGCTGACGATTTGCACCGATTGAGTGCTTGTCTGATCCTGGTCGGGCGTCCAGCTCTCGAACATAGATGCCTGCTTCATTAAATCTGCCAAAGATAGCTCTTCAGTCGCGGGCGCGTTGGCAGAAGTACTTAAGGTCTGCGGGTTAGAATTCATTGATTCAGTTGTGTGGGACTCAATGGATTGCCCAGCAGAAATGGATCCGGTTTCATCAGACTCGACCATCACCGAAGATGGCACTGTGACTGGCTCGGAATCGTCGGTGGTAGGGCCGAGAATAACATCCAACATGGAAGTATGCTCGATGAGATCTGAGACCAGCTCAAAGTCTAAATCAGGTTCTGGGGGAGCCAAAGATGGGCGGCGAACGCTGGCAGCAGGTGGACTTGATGATAGACTATTACCGCTCAGTGGGCTTAAGGGACTGGCTTGTGGCTTTGGTGATGACGTAGATGAGATTGAATTCAACCGAGCGACCACACGAGCGGGTGATGAGGAGGGAAGTATAGAAGACGAGCTTGAATTCATCCGAGTGACCACAGGGGCAGGTGAGGATGATGGGAAAATCGTGGGAGGTACGCTCACTGCAGCAATCTTCGAGGAAGGAGTGGTCGACTCGGATAAGGCACGGGGGCTGAGAAGGTCTGAGGATGGTGGGGAGATGTTGGTGACGGTAGTGGTGCCTGCTGAGGCGGATTGGTCCGTTGAAATTGAGAGGGAAGAATCGGTTGAGTTCACTGAAACGTGTGAATTGAGCGACGAGGGGGGCTCCGAAACGGGATTCAGGGCAGTAGAGGTAGTCGCGTCGGTTGATTTTTGGAGTTCAAGCGGTGGTGGATTCTCAGGGGTTACTGGGAGGCCGGTGGATGATACCGCATCGGTGGTGCTCTTGGTAAGAAGCCGGTCTTTATTCAGCGTTGAAGAAGATGATTGCGAGATGGTACGTTGCTTGCGAGCAGCAACGATTGCCGCTGCTTGTTCGGCAAACGTGGGCTTTGGTGCCGCTAGTGAGGCACTATCAGAGTCTGCCGGTAAAGCCTCATCGGTGACGGAAGAATTTTCTAAGCACCAAAAAAAAAAGAAAAGAAAAGAAAAGAAAAGAAAAGTGATCAGTTGTGCTCGGTAAATTCAACTAGGGTAACACAGAAAGACTAACTTTGAACCATGCCATTTGGTTTGGGGCTCAAGTCGGAGGGCTCTCCGCTGAGTGATGAGCGACTTTTGATGGAGGCGGGTCGACTGATCGACGGTTTCCAGTTGACTGGAGGAGCGGCAACAGATATTTGAGGAGAGGGACCGGAAAGAGAAGGCGGTTTGCTGATGCTTAGGCTCGACTGTCTTTGGATACCGTTGAGTCCACTCATATCGACCGTCCAACTCTTGCGGGCGCTCGGGTTCTGCTGATTATCAGAGGCAACCCGCCGGACAGGGAGAGAGATAGGCACAGCGACAGGTAAGGGCGGAGGGGCATCACCCGATGATGCGAATGAAGAGATTCTTTGCTGGACAAGTGATTTGCGTGACTTGGGCCCAGCAGGACCTTTACCAATTGATTGGACACTTGGCTTGGAGGGAACCATGGATGATAAGGCTGCAGTGCCGGCAGCGACGGCTGTGTCGAGACTTTCGTGGTTGGTTATCAAATTTGGGTTTTGCGAGTAGACAAATCTGAGAAATTCGGGACGCTTGGCAGAACTGAGGCCAGAGCTTGCAAAGGAGGACGCAGCGGGTGGGGGAGCAGCGGAGGGCTTTGAGGAGGCATCATTCGGGTCGGCTGTTCGATCTGGTTGATCGGGATTAGGAAGCTCGGCTTGTTCACGTTGAGCGCAGTCGGCCTCGAATTTTTTCAATACAGCTCTGGTTGGTCTACTCTTGGCAATCAGTAATGGCAGAGCACTAAGATCTTCGGCCTTGTCTTCAACGTCTTCATCCGGCCATTGGTCCAGTGGAGTAGGAAGCGAATCCGCAACCTAATCAACGGAAAAAAAGGGCAGGAAAGGTAGGATGAGAGATGAGACAGAATTTGATCAATGAAGAAGCTAGGAGGCTCGAAAGATACCTACCTCGTAATGGGTAGCCAGGGAAGCAAGTTTTTTGGTGAGAGTGGTGACGGTGGCTTGGGTGCGAGAGAAGGCGATGGGGTCGAGAAGAATGGCGGTGAGAGGGTCCTGTAGGGTGGTCAAAGATCCGACAAACATTTGAATGTCGGAAAAGAGGCTGAGTTGAAGATAAAAGGAAAATGACAGTCAGATCAGCATAAGGTGGTATGACGTGGTTTTTTTGGTGAGGTGATGGATGTGATCAAGACGCAGGATAAGGATATGTAGGTAGAATATGTAAATATTTATGTAGACGGAGCCTGTGATTTTCAGACTGACCCTTGTAGACGCATGACCCCTCTACCATCCTCGCCTTGGTCGTCGAGGATGACGCCACCCTTTCCGCCGAGCTTTGTCCAAACGGCCTCGATGAGCTGGGCGGCCCGATTGGTGGTGCGAATGAGTTGGGCACGCCAGAGGCCGGGTTCGAGGCCACGGATTCCGTTTGCACCGTAGACGGAGTTGACGATCGACTGGAGGAGTTGGAAGGATGGAGCGAGGTTGGTCCGGGTGGAAGTGGCGAGGGGTGGACGGAGTGCTAGGACTGAGTTCAGGAACGGCGAGAGTGTGGCTTCAGCCATTGCGAGTCAGCTGAAGAGATTGCAGGCGGTTGATGAGTGTCGAATGCGATGCTTGTTGGGGATGCCGATGGAGTATGTGGAGTGCAGCTGGCAGTGTTTAAGTCTCCGCTATGTAGGTGTGTGTGTGTGTGTTGCTGGGGAGGGAAGTACGGGGAAGATGAGGGAATGAGCACGATGAAAAAGTGCAGCGAACCTCGACGGAAGCAGTCTGGATCTCTCTTGGGTCTGAGCCTAATTGTGCGCCCTACAGCAGAAGTCGACCGAGGTGGTTATGTAGAAGCCAGTGAAGGGTTTGAGCGTCGACTAAGGAAATCGCAAGCTTCCTTCTGGATGGGAGTCTGGGGAAGCCAGCTGAGTTGGAAACTTAAAAAGTTTAACTCGGTTCTAGGGTTGATCTGAGTGAGACAGTAATCAAGAATTAAATGTACAAGTCTTGTTGTATGTTGTAGCTGTTGGATTTTGAAGGGAATCTGTGAGGATCTCTTGCACAACTCTTATTCAAGAAAGGAAGACATGAGCCCGGCAGCTTCAGAGTCGACATATGTAT